TTCCTTTGAAACCTGCCCAAGAATTGCAGCTTTGCTAGCAACTTTCCTCTACTATTTTAATGCTTCTATAAATCCCTTTATTTACACTTTCACAAATGGCGCATTTCGAAAGCAATTTCAGAACCTGCTCTGTTGTCACCGTGAAAAGGTAAGAGATCTGCGAAATGTAGCTGCCTTAATTAATGAAAAGGAAATTGCAAAACATGAGAAACATGCGCACCTTTGATTAAGACCCCATTCACACGAGCAAAAAACGTTTAATTAAAAGGGATTCAGTGTGATGAAATTCAGAAACGGAGAACTAACAAACTGAACTTTCAATAATATTTAAGTTATCGCTGACTTATAATTCATTGTGTTAAACTTGAAGTTGACCGATGTTGGTTTAAGAAGCTTCTATGAAAAACAGAATTTGAATCGTGTTCAACAAAACAGTTTGAAACATTTTTAAGCTTTGTTGTGAATGGGGTATTAGTTGTATGGGAATGAAATGATGAAACAGTTGGTGAATTAAAAAGTTAGCCGCAAACCTGCATTCCAAACATGCTTCCTCCTAAATAAACTCACAATCATTAGAATGAATAAACGGCTCTTAAAAAAATCATTATCACTAATCTATTCATGATTTCCTAATAGCAATTAAAATTTAAAGCGTTATAATAAAACCTCCAGCATCATTTTTAATCGTTGAGTGGCAACAGCTTTAAACTCTTGGCCCCTATCCATCGGATAGTGAGACTCTGTGAGTAGGTAAATATACTAAAAGGGAGAATTTCCACATGTAATAAGTAATTTGACATAAATAAAAGATTAAGTTGTACTTTACCAGCCTCAAAATGTGTTATTAGTCTTAAGGCGTCCATTTTTAAGACAGCTACGCGAAGGAAACCTTTGTGAGTCCCGTGACGATCGTCGGCTGTCAGAAAATTTAAAATCAATTCAGTCGTGATTTAGAAAAAAAATTTTTTTTCCTTTCATGCATACAGGAAAATGTTGATATTATGACGAGCCGCCCTACCCGGGTTATTTTTATAACAAAGGACGCTATTTGAGACGACATGTTGCCGCTTCTACTCATTTTGTCTAAGTGTGAGCTTGGGTCTTGAAATAAATTTATCTCTTGAAATTTTCTTTACCAAGGGACATTTTTATAACGAAGGACGCTATTTAAGACGGTATGTTGCTGCTTCTATCGAGTAAGATTGTGTCTTGAACTAATGTTATCTCATGAAAAAAAATCATATAAATCAGAAATTTATCCGTGAATCCTAATGACACAGTTGTAAAACCGCTCTTGTCTCCCCAAACCTGGACAAAATTCGTTCAATAAGGTAGATTGATTACAAAGATCTTTAAGCTGTTCTCTGCATTGTCGGGCTTGATAGGTGTGGTGTCCAGGCAAGCAAATTTAAAATTCACAAAATGACGAGACAACCTAGGACAAATAACTTACATACACATGGCTCGTATTCGGCGCACGCCTAATCTTAAATATCGTTTCGACATTAGCATTCGTAATTTGACAAGTACATGACATTAAAACATAGTTAATAAATTTGTCTAATCAAATTCAATTGTGTGAGCGTGCTTCAGATTCCTATTGTGCACGCTCATGACGTCAGCAAAGAAATCCCTTAAGAAAAAATAATTTCTCCACGATTCTTTACTTTGGGATTTTACTATTAAAAAACTGGTTAAGACTTTGGCGGCAATTTAAGCTAAACATGGAAACAAGATCGTTTACAGCGTAGTGAAATGTTTTCCTGAAACAAAATTATCAACGCGCTAAAGCGTAGCAGAGGGAATGTTAACCCTTTTGCAACATTTAAACCATTTGGTTGAAAATGTTGTAAAACAATTGGTTCATACGTCAGCTGTGTGTTCATCGAGATATGAAGCACTTGGGAAGTTTGGAGAGCACTCAAGAAGCTAGAGTTGGTCTCCAAACTTCCCGCGTGCTTCGTATCTCGATGAACACACGCTGACTTAAGAACCAATTGTTAATTTTCACATACGTACAAGTATGCCACTTCTCGACAGCTATGCGACAATAGGGATAAAAAAAACTTGTTTCACTTTACGTATTCGTGAAAGACAAGCGGACAAAGACATAAACTGAATGACAGTAGTGTACAGAAATGAGAAAATGAGCCACGCTCTTCGATGAATTGGAATTTCCTGCTCTGACTCGAAAAAGGAAAGGAATAATTTTTATCATAGAATCTTTTTTTTGTGGTTATCCCCGCGCACGCCAGCTTATCGTGTCCTATTTAAATAAAAACAAACTTTTCGAAATATTCAAAAGTTATTCATGGTCATATGATAAAATGCTTATAGATTGAGTCAAGTCATACATAATCCCAATTTACACATATGAAGTTACCGCTTTTCCCAGGTTAGAAATATTTGTTAAACACCACAGTTTATATGATGATTTGCCATAATCAGGCGGACCAGCTGAATTTTCACAACTTCAGTGTTTTTCAAGCAAAATGACAGTTTTCTCAAGGGCTTGAGTGCTGTGCCGAATAATAAACAATTCATTCTTTTGTAAAATCTCGCCTTTCAACTTACCACCTGCTACAAAATTCGCAATCAAGCTTACGCAAGGAAAGAGTAATTTTCTGGGGTTATCTTTCAATGAAAAAGACGAAGTATTTCGAAAACGGCAAACTTATAGGTAATTCGGCAGAATAAAAAAAATATTTTTATCTTGAAATCATAGTCAAACATACAGATGTTTCAGTCTTTATTGCATTTGTTTAGGCTTTCTTTCAGCAATTGAGTGACTTGCAGACGTCACTATGAGGAAGTTAAAAATACATCAAAGGCTCCTGGCCCTTCCGCTGTTACCTTAAGAATAGGCATAAGCATGGAAAGGCCTATCCTACTCTGAAAGGTTATAGAAAATGAACAGAATCTGTGGTATTTATAAATTTATTTAATTAAAAGAGGAAAAAGCATTTTGTACTGAGAAGAACCTCAATTTGGATGAGGTAATCTTGAACTTTGGAGAATCAAAGTGCTCTGTGAGCAAACTCGTGAATTGACACATGATATTTTGGATTATGTTTGATGTTACCTGGTTTAGGGAATTTTGTGGTTGATTGTCATATTTAGAGTACGAGCAGTAGTTCAGTGTTCGCAGCAAAGAAACAAAGTAACGTTGGGATACGAAGGCATTACAATTGAAATGATCATGCTATTACATTTGACAAGGGTGGATGATGTCATATGTTTTAAACGTATATCAAAAACTATCAAATGCACTCAAAAGCCTAAAATCGAAAAAAAGTTTACAGGAATCGACCAATCGAGCGAGCAAGCGAGCGAGTGCCATTCTCCACATCATATCTACAACTCGCTCTTCCGCATGCGCCCAATTCACGAGTTAAAAAGTATTAGTTAGCCACTTCAATACCGTTTTGGGGAAATTTTCCTGTGGGATTAAGGTTAGTTACAGACAGTATCTCTAATAATCCATTTTTCCCTTTTTAAACCTAATTTTTAACTCTCTACACTGTGACAGGTAAGGACTGGTAGAATTAAAAGACAACAGTTCCAACCTTGCAAAGAAGTTTGACCGCCGTTAAGCTATTATAAATACCGTCCCATATTCTTCTGTGATCTGACTTGTTTTCATCGAATCTCAGCGTACGGTAAGGCTTTCGCTTAGTCTAATTAAAATTATCAGTGAATGCTTAAACTGGCAAAAACTTTCGCTTGGATCGCGGACAGTACACATAATTGTCACAAACTCCTCGCATAAGAAAATTCGAAATACTCAACTAACTCTCAGCCAACTGTTCCTTGAAGCAAATAAAATAAGAACTTTAGAATTTTGAGAAATTTGGTCGAGCTCTCTGATTCTTATCATGAGACAAAGTTTAAAGCTAACGGCGCCACAGATAAATTCAGCAGCACATTCGTGACTTTATCAATCACCGAAGTAAGATGATTATTTTTCTTCAAATATTTTTGGTGTGGGAAACAGGGAGTGACGTAATCTTCTATCTTTCTAAAGTTGAGTAGTGAAACCCTACATGTACATTTATTTATCAATTGCCCTCGCCATCTTTGCGGAAAGTCATTAAGTAACATACCACACTTTCTATCGTTTTACCAAAATAAAAACCAACTTGAGATGTTTGGAACTGTATTACTGGAAATGTTTGTGAATCACTCGCCTCCTACTTGTGATTAATAACTTTTCGAGTGTTTTCCCAACGTTCCGAGTGGGGTATTATGCTGATAAACCGACAGAAAGTGCGGTTTATTGCGTTTATAAAATAAACTTAAAACAAAACATATTATGTTTCAATTTTCTATGGGTTACCGATGTAATAAACGATAGGTTTTTGACCAGTCTCGTTCATTTAGAAAGCCTGATAACATAACGGTCTGGGAAATGTTGAAACAAAAACTGTTTGATGAACGAATGTACTCAGGTTTTAAGCAAAAAAACAGCTTGAAACATTTTTAAGCTTTGTTGTGAATGGGGTATCAGTTGCATGGGAAGGAAATGATGAAGCAGTAGACGAATTACAAAATTTGACGCAAACCTGCATCCCAAATATGCTTCCTCCTAAATAAACTCACAATCATGAGCATGAATAAACGGCTCCTCAAAAATCATTATCACTAATCTATTCATGATTCCCTAATAGCAATTCAATTTCGAGTGCTACATTAGAGCTTCAAGCATCTTTTTTATTAGTCGAGTGGCAATGGCTTGGAACTCTTAACCCCTATCCATCGGATAGTGAGGCTCTATGAGTAGGTAAATATACTTACAGGGAGAATTTCCACATGAAATAAGTAATTTGACATAAATAAAAGATTAAGTTGCACTTTACCAGCCTCAAAATGTGTTATTAAGGTTGAAATTTAGTAAAATTGAAAAATTTTTCGCCCAAATTTTTTTTTGGAAAAATATTTACTTGACTCTATCTAGATTTTGAATATGTTGCTTGTTTTTACATAAATTACTTTGCAGAGTCAAAAAGTGGCCTTCTTTGAACGTTGTTTTTCCGTTGCCATGGTAACCAATTCGAAACAAGAGCCTTTTATCCGAATTAATTTTGAGGCGTTAACGCTGTTCCACGGTCCTGAGTTTGGAAACAGACCGTAGTTCATTCCAGATTCCTAGAAGTTACTTTTGAGGCCTGGTTACTGAGTTACAAGGAGCTCTAACGAATTTTGTCCAAGTCACTTTTGTTGATCTATGCGTAGCATTTCACAGTTTATTGATTCAGTTTATAAAGGGTTAAATTATGCCGAAGCTAGGGAAAAAGCAGTCTGTTTTAAAGCAGGGAATTTCAAGAAAGCGTAAAGGGTTCAAAGGAGTTCAAAAACAAGCGAAAAGAGCGGCAAGCGCAACGAGCGAACGAAGGGTAAATATCACGTTCGTCGGTGAAGATGACGTGGTAAGCGAAATGATTCCACCGCCTGCAATCCCGGTTTCTGCGCGAAAAATCGGCGCTTGTGCTATTGATACGTCTCTGTGGGATGAAAGTATTCCAGATGATCTGGAAATTGCTGAAGGATATCGCCTGGTATCAATGGAAAGTCTAAGGAAGTTTGTAAACAGAGTACATACACATGGACCATGTGCCTCAGGTGAGCCTGTTGAAATTTTTGCACAGTGTCACTTATTATGCCGGAAAATTTGAAACCAAGTCCATGATCCACTAATTTATCTGGATTTAAACTAGAAAATTAATAGATCGTTTCCTCTAATTTCTCATTTAGGTAAAGTTGAAGTGTTAGAGAGCACTGTAAACAGAATGGGAATAAGCAATTCACTCTTTGTCAAGTGTGACTGTGGCATGACAGAGTTCCTTGCTACTGGTGATCACCCCTCCAATGATACCACTCCAAGGACAATTCAAGGTAAAGATCTGAACCGACGAATAGTGTATGGCACATTTGAGATGGGAGTTGGAAAAGAGGGAATTGCCAAGCTGTGTGAAATGCTTAATATGCCATTCAGTATTTCGCTCTCAACTTGGTATGAGCACGAAGAGGCACTACTCAAGGCCCACAAGGAGATATTAGAGGAGCAACTAGCCAAAAACAGGGCTGAGGCAAGAATGCAGGCTATACAAGAAGAATGCATCACTGATGCTAATGATCAAATGATAATTAGTATCCCTGTAAGTTTTGATGGCTCCTGGTCAAAACGAGGTTATACTGCCAATCACTGTGTTGGATTTGTTATTTCTGCTGCAACCGGCAAAGTGTTGGACCTTGAAGTTATCTCAAAAACCTGTAGTGTGTGCTCACAAAAGAAGTCAAGTCTGACTGAAGACCAGTTTGAACAGTGGTGCCAGACTCATCATTGTGAAGGCTCTTATAAAGGCTCCAGCTCAAGTATGGAGATGGAATGTGCCAAAAGGATATGGGGAAGAAGTGAGCAGGGCTTTATCAGGTACACATGGATGATTTCTGATGGGGACTCAAAAGCATATAATTCTATATGGAGCATTTATGGTGCCTGTGACACTTGTCACCATTATGAAAATCTACAAAACAATGATCAAGAGTACATTACCTGGAAAGCTTCAGAAGATTTTAAGAAGTGGGAAGAGGATCACCTGGCTGGAACTGCAGGCTGTGACCGGGTCATGAAATTAGACTGCATTGGACACGTTCAAAAGCGACTTGGAAAAGCACTGTATGAATTTCAAAAATCCTCAGTGAAATTGAGTGATGGAAAACCAATGCATGGAAGAAATGGAAGACTGACAAAGGCTGCTATAGAAAAACTGAAAAAGAATTATGGCAAGGCAATTCGTGATAATGTAAAAAGAGAAATTACAACCACTGAAGAGAGGGACCAAGCTGTGCAAACTATGAAAACTGAGATTCTGGCTGGATTGTTCCACTGCTTGAAGCTACCCAATAAAGAAAGGCACCAGTTTTGTCCACCAAATTCATGGTGTAAATACAAGAAAGGGCTCCCTTGCCCTAACAAGCCACACCATCTTGACAAGGTGTTTGAGGAACATCTTTGCAAGATTTATGACAGGCTCACAGATTCTGCCCTTCTTGCAAGGTGCTTGCCTGGCTATACCCAGAATGCCAATGAGTCCATCAACTCCCTGGTATGGAACAAATGTCCCAAACACAAGTGGCATGGCAGAAGGAGAGTGCAGCTGGCTGCTTTGTCAGCTGCCTTACATTTCAGTGGTGGTGCCTCCGCGAAACATGCTATCATGGAGAAGGTTGGGCTCACTGTGAGTGATACTGCCAAAATGGAAGCTAGGAGAAGAGATTCAGAGAGAATTAAACAAGCAGAGAAGAGAGTGCAAGATCAGCACAAGAAATATAGAGTTGCCAGGAGACAGGCTAAACAGCATGATGAAGATCTAAGGATTCGTGGCGAGGGTGTAACTTATGCAGCTGGAGCTTTTGGAGAAATAGAACCTTGTAATGGACCCAAAAAGAGGAAAACTACTCAGAAGACCAAAAAATAACTTTAGGGATATTTCTTTTAAAGCAGTTCTACCAACACACTGTGTTTTTATTGTAAAAGCTAACTTGAACCCATGTTTCCATAACATTTCCTTTTAAATCACATTTCCTGCAAATATGGGTTTTTCATGATTATTTGGGTGCCCCCTTAAATTTCTCAGGATGTATTTGTGCTAACAGCTCCAAATTTGCCACAAATATTTGAGACATAACATACTACAAACCTATTGAGCAAAATTCAGTTTGACTGAAAAGTGTTGAAGTTTTGAGGAGTTAATCTTTTCTTGGAATGAATTCGTTGCCATGGCAACATTAATGATTGAAACCCGATTTTGCTCAATAGGTTTGTAGTGCTTTCTAAGTAGATCCATGATGCTTAAAACCAGCCCAATTGGATGTATTTTGAGCTTTGAATTTGAGGGGGCAGAAGAATAGTTTAAAATGATAGAGTTTTTGTTTTTGTGTATTATTTACTAGGAATAAACAAACCTGGTCAACTTTACTTGTTGGCTGGTAGGTACTGGGTCATGTACTTGCCTCCTGCCAATTTTCAGCAGTTTACTATTAATGATTATGATTCTGTGACTGTTCTAGTTATGACCTTCTTTACTGTTGGATTTCAACCAGAGGGCCCCCTTTTAATTAAGTCGATAAGCTGGAAACCACTCCGCTTCGCGTCGTGGTTTCCTACGCTTATCTCGTGTTCTCCCAACCTCTCGCGTGTTTACATCAGGCTATGTAAACACGAAAACCATTTTACATTTCTTCAAAGTTATATTTCCATTTATATCAAAGTTCATCGTGATCGTCTTTTTCGACATCATGATGCAGCCAGTCTGAGGGAAATAAAACTGACGAGGACATTGTGTCTTATTACCAGTAATGATAGTAAGTTGGTCTTGTAACATGGCGTGCTTGATCAGGATTAAAGGGGTTATTCGTCGTTTAATCGGCCATCGCTCCAGGCAAAACACGGGCAAGAGAAAGAGCTATTCGTCTTTCACGTCTCCGGCACACCTCGCGCTTTCCTCGCAGTTTTTGATCTGTATCTGCCTAAAAAGCACCTGACGCCCGTTTCAGCGATAAAAGAAAATCGCATCAAACAGCAATTCCACAAATTGAAGTTTTAATAAGTGATCGATTTACATTACATACATGTCAAATGAATACTTTCTTCTAGAATAGTTGTTATACCTATTACTGTTGAGCCGAGTTTATAAATATATAACTAAATTACGGTGCAGTTAATGAAATTCGAGTTCATGGCAAAATCAATTTGGTCAAAAATCCTCCCGACTTTCATTCTTTGCCAAATTTTTTTGCTCCCTTAAATAGATGTTTAAAGAACTAATATGCCTGTTCTAACCTCAGGCATCCTTATGGCGTAGATTATGGGATTTATCAACGAGTTGGCCATTACAAATGTTTTCGTTATAATAAAAAAATTAAATGATATCGGATTGTAAAAGCTGAAATCAAGCTCGGGACTGGAAGCCCAAAAACCCCAGAACACCATCTCCGGCAGGAACGTTATCAACGATCCAAAAGTGACAAGAAATAAAGTACCCGTCAGTTTTTTTTCCCTCACACCGGCTGCACCATGTTGTCGAGGATGACGGTTGCAACGGACTCTGAGACAGATAGAAGTATAACATATAACGACGACCAAAAGTAGGGTAAAATAAAATGCAAAAACGATAAGCTCATAATAAGTGCCGAAAAAAGTAGAGGGCACTATTCCTGATAATATCGAGTTCATGATGGCAGGCACCAACCAAATGACTGTTATAATCACTCCATAAACCCATTTCTTAAGGAATCGATGCTTGAAAGGACGAACAGTAGCGTGTACTCGTTCTAATGAAATGACAGCGAGGTTAAGAAGGGAAACTTGATAGACTTGTAAACCTAAAACATTTTCTACCAAATATAACCAAGTTATATTTGGTCTATGGTACCCCCAAAGAATACAGATGCTTCCGATCACTTCAATCATCAGAGGCCCGAACACCAACCCAACCAAGAGATCTACTATGGCCTGGTGGATGATCAAGTATTTACTCTGGCGCTGAAGCTGGCGCTGCTTTACAAATGCAATGATGATGATGACATTGAGAATGACAGTGGTCAGACATTCAGCGCCTAATACAGCTAACCATGGGATACATTGTAATGGAGAAAACGGCCTCCAATAATGGCGGATTGTGTCATAATAGGTACTATTGTTGGGACTGAAAGACATTGAGTGACAGTACAACCAGCGACGACCAACCGAGCCACCTGAACAAGAAAGAAAACGTCTATGATATAAAAGTATCCACCAAAGTTCTTGGCATTACGCTAGTTACGTGTTATGTGTCGATTCGCGAGTAAAAACTTTCGTAATATGCTTAGTTAACTGCACGGTTTTATGGGTGGCCGATGAAAAGAGAGTGCACTTGTTTTCTTGGTTCGGACTCTCAACGCTTCTAAGCGCAACAAAACAAACAGCTGCGCAAGCAAATAGTTTGGTGCTTTTTTCCATAAAAGGAATATCATTCGGGGTAATTTTGAAAATAAAAGGCTACTTAACAAACAAAATGACGAGGACGCTTCTTTTCTTAGTGAAGATTAATTTAGAGTACTTGCAAAATGAAATTGATTTTCCAGAATAACAAAGATACCAGAACTTAAAAAACATCACAATATCGCATCGCAGATATCCTCAATTTAAGAAAAACGACTGATGCCAACTACAACTGTCCGTAGTGAAAAGAAAGTTCTTTGTTTTGTATAGAGGATCGAAATACATGCACCTGCCAATAAAACCCTAACGAGGTACAGGGCGAGGACCAATCCTCAGTCCAAACGACGCAAATTCACGTCAAGTGGCGACATTATCTAAAGAAAAGATAGAATGCTTGAGCTACTTACGTTTAAACGATAAAGTAAATTAAGAAAGCCATGAAGTTGTGTGGTTAAATAGAAATTTCAAATTGAGACAAAGTTGTCTCCTCTGATAGATTTGAGATCATTTCGAGGGGTAACCGAAATGCACAGTTTTGTTTGTATTTCAAAACTTAACAGAGTATGGTGCAATAAACAATTGGTCTCTTTGACCAATAAAAGTCTTCTAAATGATGAGGCTTTTAGCTTTAATAAGTCATCTGATTTGACATCTGATGATGAATTTCCAGTCCAAAGTTAGTTGCGTACCAATAGCAGGATACCCTGAGAGCAAAAATACAAAAAAAAGAAAAACGACCGACACTATTCCTGATAATATCGAGTTTATGACGGCAGGAACCAACCAAATGACTGCTATAATCATTCCATAAACCAATTTCTTAGTGAAACGATGCTTGAAAGGACAAAATGTATCATATACTCGTTCTTATGAAATGACAGCGAGGTCACGAAGGGAAACTTGATAGACTTGTTATCCTAAAGAATTTCTTTGAATGCGTAACAACTTGATATCAGGTCTATGGTATTCCCAAATATCACAGTAGAAGTTCCCGTTCATTCTCATCATCAGAAGCCCGTAAGCCAACCCAACCAAGAGATTGACTACGGTCTGGTGGATGATCAGTTGTGTAGACTTCTTCTCTTTTCTTGTCTGTGTTATCTGCCTCAATAATAACACAACAATTGCTAATCTTTTCATAGTATATTGTTACCGCGGAATTTCTTTTTTAACCACTTTTTTCCACTATATAATTAAAACAAGTCGGACGGCATCGACGGCAAAATCAATTTGATTAAAAATTCTCCCAACTTTTTGTTCTTTGCGAACATTTTAAACACTCTTTAAATAGATGTTTCAATATTTTGAAGTGGGATATCGATTGGGTAAACAGGGTTTAAAGTCCTAAGGAAAATTATCTGCAATATGCCTCCTTTTAGTTCAGGCATCCGTATAGCGTAGATTATTAGATTTATTGGTGAGTTGGCAGCCACAAATATTATTCTTACCATGTCAAAATGAAATGATGACTGATTGCAAAAGTTATAGAGAAGCTTGGAGTCAGAAGCCAGAACACCCCAGAATACCATCATCGATAGGAATGTTATTAACGACCCAAGGGTAGCAACAAATGAGTTTTGAAAACAAAACAGTTTTCTTGCCCTCAGGCCGGCTACGCCATGGTGTTGAGGATAATGACTACACCGGACTTTGAGATAGATAGAAATATAACATACAACGACAAAAAAAAGAAGAATAAAAAAATGCGAAAGAAATCAGTCTAAAAAAGTCGTAAGAGTGAGTTAATATGAACGTGTTCATGACGCTAAGCAACAACCAAATGATTATTATCATCACTCCATAAACCCATTTCTTGATGAAACGATGCTCGAAAGGACGAAATGTAGCGTGTACTCGTTCTAATGAAATAACAGCGAGGTTAAGAGGGAAAACTTGATAGACTTGTAACCCTAGGACTAATTCTAGTATAGATAACAAAGTAATATCATTTCTATTGTACTCCCACAGATCACAGTTGAAGCTTCCGCTCCATTCATTCATCAGAGGCCCGTACACCAACCCGACCAAGAGATCAACTATGGCCTGGTGGATGATCAAGTATTTACTCTGGATCTGTAGCTGGCGCTGCTTAACAAATACAATAATGGTGAGGAGATTGAGGATGACAACGGTCAGGCGCTCAGTGCTGAACACCGCAAACAATAGAATACATTATGATGGAGAAAGCGGCTTCCTGTACTTTTGGATCGCGTCATTATAGGCACTATTGTTGAGACTTGAAGCCATTGAGTTTCAATCGACCCAGCCACCACCAACTGAGTGACCTGAAGAGAAGAGAAAAACGATATGATGTGGAAAATATAATAGCAAAGTTTTGTGTATCAAGAAATTATGTTTCGTGTGCCAGTTAAAGAGTTCGAACGCTGGCAAGAGACGATGTCGTGAGAACCAACATGGTTACTTTGAATGTTTTATTGCGAGCTAAGCTTCTAAAATCTTTGCCACACATTTTTTGGTTCTGATTCTTAATGTTTCTAAGCGCTAGTTAAACCACCAGTTGCGTAGGCGATCATTTCGGTGTTTTTTTATTTTTCTGTCTTTATCAAAAGGATAAGGGCTTCCAAGGATAACAACAAGAAAAGGCAATTAAACAAATAAATACTGAATCTGCTTCTGTTCGAAATGACGAGTGATGAAAAGTACTTACGAAAAGAAATTGATTTGCCAAAATAAATTCGAAATTTTTCTTCCCAGCGAGTTTTATGAATCAGTCTTGAGTAGATTTTAAATTTTCAACCAGAGAGTCAGCTTTATCAACATCATTGTTTATCTTGCTTCTTTTCGTTATGGATCTGACGAACTAAAAAACCTCAACATCCAGCGTACTCTAATAACATCAACAAGGATACGAGAGGCCAAAAAACTAACACAATAATCGCATCGTGGATATCCTCGAGTAAGGTATACGACTGATGTGAACAACAATTGTCTGTCAGGGAAAGAAACTTCTTACTTTTGAAGGAAAAAGGATTGAGGTACGTGTACCTGTCACACAAACCATAGCGACGTACAGGGCGTGGATCAGTCCTAAGTCCAAACGGTGCAAATCCAAATTAAGTGGTGTCATTTTCTAAAACGATGAAATGAACTAAGAAAGCCACGAATATGTCTGGTCAAATAGGAATTTTAAAATTAGGATATCTCTATCTCTCTGTCTCCTTCCATAGATTTGACATCAATTTGAGGGGTAACCGGATGAACATTTTTGTTTATCTTTGAACACTCAACAGAGCATGATATAACAAACTATCAATCTATCAATGAGGTTCTTCGCTTTTATAATTTTTTTTGTCTTTTTTTGCCAATGTCGAAGCGTGAATTTTCAGTCCCGACAAATCGTGGGTTACACAAGTAATAATGTACTGTGCTGCATCGGCGCTACCTCGCTACCTCCTCTATCAGAGAGGAGCTCAATCAGTTTATAACCGCCGTCAATTCCTTTCACCCGGCTCTGAAATATACCTGGGAAATTTCCAACACTTTTTTGGCTTTTTTGGCCATCAAAATTTCAATGGAGGGCAACGGTCTATACATTAGTGTTTACTACAAATGTATAGACTCACATAGTTCCTTGTGGTATTCATCTTCGCATTCATCACACGCCAAGAATTCCATACCTTTTCACAGTTTCTCATACTTCGTCGCTTATATAGTGAAGACTGATTTTTCCGAGAAATTAGGGGCAATGTGCCAGTTTTTCGATGATATGGCTATCCTATTATTGTCGTTCAAGCGGGCTATCCCTGCGCCCAACAAACTGATCGACAGTCAGCACTATCAACGGCTGAGAAGGAAAATACTGATCGCATTTCATTCACTCTCACATTTCACCTTTACAACAGAACCAAAACAAACACTATCCGTGTATTTAAATTCCTAAAACAGTTGAATATGCGCGCGCTTGTAAATCTATTCTTTTGCGTGACAATCAATTCACCCTTAGGAGGGTTTTAGTCAATCTTAGTAAATTGCACGCATGAACCCGTGAATGCCCTCTGTTAGCAAGTAAAAAAAACTGTGAAATATCATCATAATGCAAAGATAAACTGCACCTGGCATATCCACTTCCGTTTTAATCCTCAATTTGTGTTAAGACTGGAACAGTATATCAAGCAGACCCCAATCAAACGGACACCCAGTGTTAAACGAACATATTAAGCCAAAGTCGCCATTTTTTCTTGACACACTTAATGTGGAACATAGTCGTAACTGGCAATTCCCAGACAGATCAACAAAATTGAGTCCTTTAGTGATTCAAACCTTTTGTTTAGCATAATCTTGAAGGGGTTTTATATGAGACTTTTTTCGTCTTTTATAAAAGCTGTACTGTTCGTGGGGCCGTACTTGTTCAGTTCGTGTTCGTGTTCAGAGCCAAATGCACCACGATGTCTATTTAGGATGTCGAGTTACAAAATGGTATAAGGGAATAGCGCCCACGCTATCTCCAGCCATATCTGCGTTTTTCGAGAACAGACGTAGATTTCCACCCTCGTTGTAGCCAGTGTTACAGGCGGTTGTTGGAGTGTGTCAATGGGGTTGACGTTTAGCCGTAAAACGGCAAAAAGCCCGGCAAAAAAACATTTAGCCGCTGGGCGTAGAAATTGACAACTTTTAACTGTTAGTCATAACAAAAAAAACGTTGGTTGTAAAAATCTTTCCTTTCTACAATGTGTCATTTTCTGTTATCTTGGTTTAACCGTAGTCGTAAATTGGTC